CCGTGAGGGGTTGGAACCTTTCGAAGGGGTTCCCGAAGCATTATTCCCTTGGCGACGTTCTGGGTCATGTAGTAAATGGTGGTGGCTCAATGAACACCCGTTTATGCCACAACGACCAGTCCTGCGACAATCTTTTCCATGATGATCCTTCGAGAGACAACGGAAGCATAATTTCTTCTCTTTGGCAGTTTTCCACCGTTCTTCCACGACCAATGCCCCATACCCCTTGCAGTACCATATCGGATGATTGCTCTGTCCACAGAACTGGCATGGTGGTCTTTGTTGACCATACCTGTCCGCCTCTGTCAAAAAGGTTCTGGATCTTGATCCATTGCCCTTCTTAAATGGTGGATCACTCAATGGCTTTTGCTCCAGCCCATGCGCCATTTCAACTGCTTCCATTTTTATTGCGACTTCTTTCTTTAACCACTCACACAAATCGGTTACGGATGGTGTCTTGCTGTGCACATTTAACCAACGGCTGTAGCTTTCCACTTGCTGACCAGACAACTTCTTAACAAGTTGACCATGTAAAGACCCTTCTCCTAGTTCAGCTTTCCGTCCCTCAGCTTTTAGCTTTGTCACTGTAACTCTAACTAAGTCTGTAAATCTATCGAATGACGACACATCATTATTCCGCAGCGGTGGTGTCTTTTCAAGCTCTTCCATATAAGCTCTCAATTGCCTTCGCTCACCTCCAAACTTCGATTGAATAATGTCCTTTGCTTCATTATATTCTGCCTCCGAAACTCCTAGTCCTCGAATAGCTTCCAAAGCTCTACCAGAAAGACACTCTCTAAGTCTAGCCATCTTGATGTTCACAGGTTCAGATGATTTATCAACAAGGCTCTCAAAAAGGCACCAAAATTCCTCAAAGGTAGCTTTAGTTCCATCAAATTTAGGGACCCTTAATGCTTTTAAGTTCCGATTAATTGTTCCTCCTATAATACCAGGCGATTGTTCTGCAAGGTAATTAGTATTGGGTGACGCGGGGTACCCATGCTTGGTGACACCTGTTCCAGACTAGGGGGTTGGGGTGATTGTTGCTGGCTAATGGGGGGTGAGGTATAATTTTGCTGCACTGCACCTGGGGCACTGGGTTGGGGTGCCTGTTGCAAGGTAGTAGGGGGTGACAAAACTGAAACACTCGGAGTCACAGTCACAGATTCTGTTACCTTCTCTGCTTCTAACATCATGTCCGTCAACCTTTCCTCAGCACGTTCAATTACTTCTTGTGTTTCTTCCTGTAAACTGTCCGATTCTTTCATTATTTCCGATTGTAACTCAGTATTTTCCATTTTTAAAGCTAACACACTCATCTCATCCATCACCGCCTGTGCTTCCTCTAAAATTTCCCATATTTCCTCGATACAACTCTCGATTTCCTCTCTTGTAGCTCTCATCTTAGCTAATTTCTGCAAACGATGCTTCGATTTAGTTAATCTAGTCTTTCGGGTTCTTTTTTCCTTTCTCAATTTAACTAATATTTCTCCGTACGGTACAGCTACGTTTCCTTGTCCATTTTCCTTCGATACTCCGCTTTCCACAACGTTTTCCTTCGCGTTTCCCTCCATAGATAACTCGGTAACTTCGTCGTCCGACATTATTGCTCACATTTGCCTTTCAAAATACGCCAATAAACACACAAAAATTCGATACATCGTCCTGGCAGGATCGCCAAATGTCATGCAGACGCTTGCTCCGCACTCGAACAAATCAAATACACACGATAATTTTAGATTTTTTAATCAAAATATAAAATATGAAAGACAATACAAAATAAAAACAGCGAAAAATTCAACTCGAAACACGCTCTAGTCCTAGTCTTTTTGCTCGGTCAGGTGTTTCCACCTTCCAGTGCCAAAACTTCAGAAAACTGAATATATATTAACCACAATGTCAAATCCCTCTTAAACAATGATGAATCGTTGAAATTCATCAGACCATGGCAATCTTCAAGTATTCAGGTTGAGAATCTTCAAAACTACTTTGGCTCTCTGTTTAGTGGGTTTTCCATTTCAAATAAAGTTCGTATATTTTAAAATTTTCGCGAATTTGCAATCAAATTCTGTTACATTTGTTGTTGTTTTCAATAACCTGGAGTCGCGATTCTCTGATTGGTTAATTCACGATTGTTGTGAGAACTGCACATTTCATCAGCAATTTTAATCAAGTTAACCATTGTTTCACTGTAGTAATTTTATAAAACAATAACCAAATGGTTTTCCAGGATCCTGAAAGAGGGCGTCCAATTTTGGTACATCAATACATCTGCAGTAAAAACGTTCCTCTGGAAAACCTTTGAACTTTAAGTTACTTCATTCATGTCAGTATCTGTTCCAAGCTCGTTAGAAATTTTTCAAAACACTTGGCTTTGTGAGTTTGTGCCATTATGCTTCTTTACTTAACTACTACATTTTCATTCAGCCAGGTACACAATGTCAAGTGTATAATAATAATAATGAGAATTGAAGCTATTTTGTTTCAGATATATTTACTAATATACTTGGGAAATCAATGAAAATAATTTCCCTTTTACCCCGGAATTTGGGCATCCAAAGGCGTCCATTTTTTGTTCTAGGTGGCTAAAAGCCTGTGTGCAGGATAGCATATCCATGCACTTGGGATGTTGCTCGACTTTCAGAAAGCATAAAAATACACTCACCTATGGCTTGTGTATTTTCACACTTTCCAAAAGTCTCGCAACATCCTGTGTGCATGGATAACACAATCCTGCACGGAAAACCATTCGGTATTCCTTTATTTTAAAACATTTTCGGAACAACTTTTATCTTTTTGTCATTGTCTACATCCACTATTTTACTGTTCCACGTATATGCAATGACAATGATTATGTGTAGCCCGATCCTGGTTAATTTGGTTTCATTGAAGTATTATGCTCAAAACATGTAGCCTTGATGCATGATTATAGGCGAGGCACAAGTGAATAATCATTCCAACACCCAAACCCTACAACACGTAGGTTTCATAATTTAGTCCCAGATCACCATGTCAAGATACCACTACTGTAAATAAATATATCTAGTGACCACGGTCTGTAGCTGCCAATTCATAGTATGCTGTTGGTAACTTTCTACCAATGCAGAATGTATGTTAATTTTCTAGCCGAAAGTAATGTGGGAATGATTTTCTTCGACATAAAGTGTTGGGAAGTCATCGAGCCTATTCATCTTTGGGCTCCAGTAAGGGATACCAGAAAGAGTTCACATGTCTTTGAGCAGAGGCAATCAAATGTATGTAAGAAGTCTTTGGCACGAAATTATATAACTTACACACTTTTATGCATATAGGATTTATTGCACAAGGAAGAGGCTATAGATGAATAATGTTAAATTTACTACATGACTTTTTTCTCATATCCTGAAAAAAGCACTGAACTTCATTATCCGCCCACAATATCGATTACTGCAGTTTTAAATTAATATACCTTGTTAACAAACATCCAGCAAACCAATGTGAATGCAAACTTTACGAAAAAAATTAATGATTTTGTGTACACTATAAGTTGGAACATGTCTCGATCTTTATGTCTTGAACAATCATAACTGGTAATAACAGTTACACAAATTGTACAATCACTATGTTTTTCTATTGAAAGGGATGTATTAGAAGATGAGTATATAGCTACACTATAGGACCTCTCTGCTAGGTAAAAAAGTGCCCAGTTAACCTAGAAAAAAGACTATTTGGTTAACTTGATATTCCTGGATAAATTTCCTGGTTCAGTTTTATCTCACTTCCTACCATAGTCTGGTTAAGTTAATTAATCAGGAATTTGAATATACTGTATTTGTCTAGGACATCCTTGTTAAAATAACCAGACCATGTTAGGTGGATAAATAACCAGGTGCCCCAGATTTCTTATCAACCTGACACAGTCTGGTTGATAGGGTTATTTTTACGTTAACCAGGAAATTGTAACAAGTGTACATTTTGTTTTCCCATCAAAGAAAGAGATTCAGGAAAGTTTGTCAAGGACCACAGGGGTTGGCATGATTGATGACTCAACAATTAGCAAAATGTTTACTGCATTTTTGCTGCAAGTTCAGGGAGGCTCGCTTGCTGGATCAAGCAAGGAAGGGATGAGTGCTCCAAAAGCTGCAGTCTTGATGACTTCCAACTCTGAAGAACTTCCAAGGTACATTAATTACTTTACAAACAATTGCATTGCAGCTTCCACAGATATGAAGCTGTTTTATGTGTTAGCATTGCAGTAATTCATTTGATTTTTTAATACATACAGTACATATCATACAGTATTTATATGCAACCATGTGTTTTGTCAATCGTGTACGGATATGGTGTCTTTCAGATGCCGTTTTTCATCATCAATTTGTTTAGGGTGGTTGGTTGATCTCAATTTTTAAATTTTGATTTTTTATTTGATGTAGACTTATTGGTAAAGTAGTCTAGTTTAACTACTCTGGGCCTGTGAGTGTCCACCCGGCATACAATAAGGACTTGTTGCACAACAACCTTCCATTTATAGAAGAAAACAAGGTAAGCTTGACCCTATTGCTCAGGATAACAAGCAGGGATGCACATAAATTAGGGAGGTTTCGGTGTGACCACCCCAGCTTTCAAAATTTACAAAGGTATACCCTTTTTTGGGGATCATGTTTTGAAAAGTAATTTTTCTTTTGTTGTCCAGGGGAAATTTTTAAACTGTCGCTTTCCATGAAGACTTTTTTTGACCTTCTCCCTCTCCCAGTCAAAATGTTTGGGAAAAGACCACAGGGTGCAAAATAAAAGCAAGAAAATCAATCCCAGATAAAAAAAGCAAAAAAGTCTGTCCCATATCATCCAACAACCCCCCCCCCCAAACAATTTGTTGAATGTGCACCCCTGATTATAAGGATACATAATTAATGGCAGGATAAATTGTGTTAATCACTTGATAATAATACATGTAATCGGTTTCTCATGCATTTCTGATTATGCACATCTATATTTTACCCATGGTATATTTAATAATGGCATGGGCAATCAAATACTTGGAATTTTGGAGAGCGTCATCCAAAGATCCCATTGGAGTGCTTGGAAAGGTCCTGGAAGAGTATCGATCCGAGATTAAAAAGCAAGAATGTTGGTCCCATATCATCCAACCCCCCTCCCCAAACAATTTGTTGAACACATATATTTTACCCATGGTATATTAATGGCATGGGCCAATGGAGTGCTTGAAAAGGTCCTGGAAGAGTGTATGGCAGGTTTAATTCCAGATGAACAGTCAGGACTGGTGGACAAAGGGATCAGCAGCTGTTGTCCTGGCAAACACTTTGGTAAATGTTTACTTTATATGTCAATTATTTAGTATTTCCATTTTCTATTTTTGTGCCAGTATTGCTTCACATCACTTAGAAGAGAAAAAAACGAAGTCAAAGTGGGTTTCATGTGTTAACCATCCTATTGATTAATAAAAGCCCTATATAATTATTACTATGCACTTAATTATGCTAACTGTCTTAATTAGCATTACTGTCCTCTTTGAAGATGCTGTTATCTATTGGAGAGAATGGCATGACAAGACATATGGTAAGAGATATCCTAGAGCAAACAGTGCAGCAGCAGTACCCTAAGTATCATGGATAAATTGGAAAGAAACATCCAGTTGAAAATGGATGACAATAAAGAACATGTAAGTACATGATGGTCGAATAGTGAAAATCTTACACTACCACTGATAGTGTAGAAGCTTAGTCTTTAATTTATTTAGTTGTGGCTAGTGAAACTGTTAAGATGTAACTAGTGTCATGTATCTCTGCAATTAGTATATATCTTACAATACAACGGTAACTCCAAATAAAGTAAGCATTTTGAATTTGATTCAATGTTTCGACTTTATTTAGTCATCATCAGTAATGATTATGTTACATGTGAATGTGTTATATATACCCTATGTAAATTGATATATAATTAAGAGAAAACCGATAGTTCTCTAATTTAAATTAATTAGTATAGGTAATAATAGCATGGTTTTGAGTGCAATTTGGATATTACATGCACAAGTGAGTTTTTAGAAGTATGTTTATCACAAATCTAGTTTGTTTGTGTATGGATAGTTGCACTTTAAATGTTATTTATTATTTTCTTAAGGATCTTGGATGGTGAAATCCTGCAACAGTTTCTGTAAAGAATAGACTTGGTGCAACATTCGAAGCTGTTGTGATCGTCCAAAGTGTTGTGGATAGTTTCACAGATATTTCGCATGAATCTTCACTTTCTTCCCACTCATTCGTACGAGAAAGTTAGACCAAGTGTGAAATCATTAAATTGATGCATTTATGTCCGGCCTCAGCACGACTTTAGCTGGTACTTTATTGATGTAGTATAATATATATTATGTATCTTTTTTCCAGTGGCACTGAAAATAAAAACATTCATTGTTTATCTACATTGTATACTTAAATTTTATAGGAATTTGAAGAACAGTACTCAAAGGTCATTGTGAAAACTGAACCTATACAGTGTTATTTCACCAATGCAAAAGAAATTACCTTGGTGAGTTTGTCAAAGCACCAAAATGTTAATTACAACAAGGTTTGCAGTGAATGCACAAATGTATATACACAATACATTGATG